TAGCTATTTTTTTTTTTTGTAGATACAATTTGTCACATTAAGGAAATTCCATTCTATTCCTGGTTTACCATCATGAATTGTTTGGCTGCTGAATTTACCAAATGTTTTTACTGCATCTTTCGAGATGATCATTCTTTTTTCTTTTTTCTTCTATTAATATAAGCTATGATTGATTTTCCAACATTAAACCGAACTTGAATATCCTGAATAAATCCAACTTTGTTTTTATATATTATTCTTTTAATACATTGCATGATTCGGTTTGCCAAAATTTTGTTTAGGAAATCTGAATCCAAGTTCATGAATGAGATCGGCTTGTAATATGATTTTCTCCAATTTCACTATGATGTCTGTAGGTGTATATTTCTCTTTATTTACCTGGCTTGAGCTTCATTTGGCTTCATGAATCTGTGGGTTGATTTAGAAGTTTTAGAAAGTTCTAAATGATGATGACTTCAAATAATGTTTCTACTCCTCTACTCTCCTTCTGAATAAGTATACATACATTAGGCATTTTCACTATATATTATATGCCTCTTACACTCTTCTCTGTTTTTTCCATGTCATCTTCTCTTCATGTTTCAGTCTGGATTCTTTCTTATGACCTACCTTACAGTATACTAATTCCCTGTCCAGCTGGTTTATTCTGTTGTTATCTCACCTACAGTTTTCTTGATTTTAATTACTAAAATATTCAGCTCCAAAACTTCTATTTTCTTTCAAATGTGCTGTACCTTTAAAAAATAATTAATACTTATATCATTGAACATAATAAGCATAGTTCTAGAGCCCCTATTGGCCTGTTTCTATTGATTTTTATCCATGTTGTCTGGCCTTTTATACGCCTAATTATCTTTCTCTGTCAGACAGTATATTTGAAAATTATTTTGTTGAAGTAATTTGAGACTTAGGTTGATTATTATCTTCCTCCAGAGTAGACTATCCATTTGCTTTTGTTAGGTACCTGGGGGGTATTAGCAATTCAAGATCACTTTACTACTTTTTCCAATGATGGGATTTTCCCAGCTACCCAGATGACTTGCCGTTTGTCTGCTGTCTGTGCAACGACTGGCATACTTCCTGTTTACAGTTCAGTCGTTTAAGGTCCCAACCCAAAACATGGGTTTTTGGCCACTGTCCTACGACTTACAGTCCTAGACTCCAACAATTTTTCCCCACCAGTTCTGCAATAATATCAAAAGTACTACTCAGCTTCTCATCTGCCCCTTTTGGATCACCAATTGTATCCAGCCCCAAAATGCCTGCCATGTTCCCAGATCTTGGACCAGTAATTCTTCACTACTTTATTAGCAATTCAGTTCCAGTTTGTATTTTGTCTAGCTTTATTCATTGTCATCAGTGAGAGGACTATTCTGAGTTACCTCCTCTGTCATTGCTGTTAGGTCTATAACTAAATATTTGCAAGCTTATCTTTTGTTTCCTTAACACGTAAAAGAACAGTTTTATGATCTGTGACTGGTATTTACAAAGCCTTGCAGTTCTAGTTTCTGCTTGCTCTTACTCATAATGACTTATCCACTTTTGTGCTTGTTTTTTGACTGCAGCTATTCGTTCTTATAAAATTACTTGACAGAAATTACCTGAGGCCTAGGATAAAGGTGTCTTCTTCCAATTAGGACTCGCATTTCCTTCTTCCAGGTTTCTAGGGGATGCTACTAACCAATCTGGGACTATTTTAAACTCAATTCACCATTTGATATAATATAGGTAATGTGAACTTGGACTGTAAATCTACTCCAGGGCTGGATTATGGTTATAACTTCTGCACTATACCGAGACACTTTCTTTGCAGTCTCTGAGATCAGGTGAGAGGGTTCATCATTATGTCGGGGAGCAGGCTATGGTGGTTTTGGTGAAGGGAAAATCTCCTATTAGACTTCATACTTTAGGTAGCCCTTAGGCTTTTACTTTTGTCTCCCTACCCCATGAGGCCTGCAAAATCGTAATTCACATTTGCCAGCCTGGCAAATACTCTTGGGGCATTTAGTTATAAGCACAACTGTCTAAACTCTTGCTTTTTCTTTGGCCTGATAACTCTTTATTTCTCCTTATCTCTTTGATGCTTTTAAGAAAATTACTTTTAAATTTTTTCCAGAATTTTTAGATGTTTTTGATGGTAGAGTTGGTGCAAGTCCCCTAGATCACCATATTTCTTACAGAAGTGGCTGCGGTTTGTTAAAAAGCAAAATACATGCAAGAAAGCTTACAAACATTTTATTTCTGAACAGAATCAGAGAACCCCAAAAGCCAGAAGGGACATGAGACACACAGTAAGTATTTCAAAACCCAGGTCTCCTCAGTTTCCAAATCTCTTTTGTGGCAATAGCATTTTTGTGTATCACACATTTAACCTGTTAGCCCTAAAAACATTTCTCAGAACTTCAGAAAAATTATCTAAGGAAACTGTGTCAAAGCAGTAACAGAATGCATCAGTGTGTTGAGGTCTAAATTAGAGGACAAAGGCCTCAAGATTAATCTCTCACCATTCCTCAGTGAGTGCTTGCCCAAGTTCTACCAGTCCCCCACCCCCACCCCCGTCACTTCTAGGCTGTCTTCAAATCCTTCACTGGGTACTTGGCTTTGGTGTTAATGATTTTGTTACTCCAGGCAGTTTTCCAAACAAAAAGGAATGGTTATTTATAATTCCTAGACTGAAATCATAAATACCATCAGCTGAATTACACTGAAATGTCCGTATAACTCTATGAACAGAAGTTCACATAAAGTTAGTCTGTCTTGGCTAGGTAAAAAGGATTTTAGCTATAAAAGTTGCAAAAGGATCTTACTGTAGGTAAGTTTAGACTCTTAGGTGGTCCTGCAGTGTATACTCTGAGGACAGCTTTGCAGCAAGGTTCCTGACACAGATCATTTAGGCTAGGAGCCAGACAACATTTTTCTCCCTCAAATTATAAGGGATCAGTGGTATTCCAGTAAATTGCCCCTTTGTGAATGAAATAACTTTACTTAGATTTTCATACTGAAATACCATACTGAATACCTTTCTTATACAGATCATTTTACTTTTTCCTCAAAAATTTTGTGATTACTTCAGTCTGAAACAGTATTCATGACATACGGTATACATGGTGGTATCTTCAAGCAAATGCCTTTTAGTTCAAAGTATAAGTACCCTTTATAAAAAAAAAAATCAGTATCTGCTCATTTTAAAATAATTAGAGATTTTTCCAAGGTATATAAAACCTCCAAACACTCCATCTAGTACATGCTGGACAACTAGCAGCTACTGAACTCTCTCATACTCTGAAAGGGACATGTTATACAAAAGAACTGACTCTATGTGGCTCTGCCATGATATCACAGTGAATATGCTGCTCTCAGTTCCTACAGAGGATTGTATTTTCTGATGCCAAAATGCAGCTGAGCACTATCTTGTAAAGCTGATCATTCATATGACTGAAAACCCGGTAATTCCACCCATGAAGCATATCCCCTAGAGCAGAGCACTGATTCTCAAAGTATAGTCCCTGGACCAGCAGCATCAGTGTCACTTGGGAACATATTAGAAATACAAATTCTTGGGACCCACTCCAGACCTACTGAATCAGAAATCCAAGGTGTTTTAACAATTCCTCTAGGTGATCCTGATGCAGACTAAAGTCTGAGGCTCCCTGCTTTAGAGAAATTCTTGTTCACTTGCTCTGATAGAAGAATTGTTTGAGCAGAATTGCCCCTTCTCTGTCTACCTCTCCCCTCCCCCACACACATCCAATCCCGAAAATGAACATCTACTGTCAGGAGAACAATATAAAAAAATGTACTACTAACACAATGTAGTACTCACTATACAACAGAGAAAATAAATGAAAAACAGCTAAATTTACAAGCTTAAATAAAACTTAGACCCATAATTTTGATTGAAAAAAATCACGTTAAGTCTGCAGTGTGATATTTTATAAAGGTTAAACACAAGCAAAACTAAATAATATATTATTTAAATATATATTTATGTGATAAAGCAATAACACTATTTTTTAAAAACAAAGAAAGGATACCCCTTTAATTCTGTACAGTATTTCCCTCAGAGGGAGCAGAGGCAAGGGGATAGGGTGAGGAAGGAACACAGTGGGAACCATAAATGTACTGGGATCAATCTAGTTCTTAGGTTGGTCATGAGATTGCAGCTGTTCATTTATTTATGTAATTTTTAACACTACATTCTTTTGTATATATAAAATATTATATAATACATTTTAAACCCAGAAAACAAAAAAATGCAGCTAATAAACAAAGATAGTCATTACCTTAAATAGAAAAATTAGAAACCACCTAAGTGATATAAATTGTGTAAATTGTGATATGTTCATTCAGTAAAAAAGAATTTTAAAATATATGAGAAAAAATTTATGATAAAATTAGATAAAATAATGTAAAAAATGTACAGTAGAAGGATTAGAAAAAATACAATAAAATGTCAATAGTGGGTATTACAGGGAGTTTTGTTTCTTCTTTGTACATTTAAATTTTTCTATAGTGAATAATAAATACTTTAAAAATCATTAAGGATTTTTAAAACTGTCACTGAAACATTTAATAACTCTAAGCCATTAAAGAAAACTACCAAATCTTCCACTGGAAACAGGAAGTTGGTATTTTGTGAAAATCTGTGATATATGAGCTTTAATATTCAAAGTTTTATATTTTCTGCCATAAAACTGTGTATCTTTATTACTCTGATTTCATTTAAAATAATTTGATGTTGTTTGTGTGGGAGGAAATATGACTGAGAAAACCATGACCTAAAGAATATATTTTTGCCATAGAGGACTTCAATGAAAACAACTAAAAACAACTTCGATATCCTTAAGAACAAAAAGAAAAAATATCCACCAATGGTTGACCAGCTTTTGGAAACACCGAAGAAACACATATACTGAGAGTCTGCCTTATAGCCCCAGGGCCCATCATAATAAGAAAGAAACATAAAGATTAAGGCCAGAGGCCAGAGATTTGTTACATACCTCTTTTTCCAATATTCTAGCGACCTCACCAAGGGTACGATCTAAAGCAGAAACCTTATTGTTTGCCCATGAGCCACTGTCTTGTACTTGTAGTTGTTTTAGAAGATCTTTGGCTAATCGCTGAAGCCTTGGATACAAAATGAAAGAGAAGAATGACATGAATGTATTAGACTATAATATTTTGTTTTCCTAAATATTTTTAAACAAAAGTTACTTTCATTATTGTATTAGAAACTGCTTCATAGAGCACCTAAGGGGAAAAAAAACAAACCACTCCTAAGGCTGGTATTATCCTATGTTCACAAACACCAATCTAGTCCTTGTGACACAAAATAGATCTAGAGAACAGTACTGTCCATTCACAGGATTAGCTGGAGCAATCGCTGCCATCAGTTTCCACGTGACCCTTAAACTAGAACAGAATTGGAGATGGGGAAAGGTGAGAGTATGATGGCAGAGAAAATGAGTATAAGACCCTGAGCAGGTTTTCATATTTTGATTTAAATCTTCAAGGTAGCCTTGGATACCATGTTATAAGCACTGCAAACTCTCAGAATATCAAACTCTCCATTTTCCAATTTACAGGCAATTTGGGGATTTCCTGCCACTGCTGATGTGATTTAGACAATAGAGCAATTATTTCCTTTTCACCAAGAATAACATGTATTTCCTAGATCGTAAGATTCTTTAGTAAGGGGAAGGTATGTAATATTTCTTTGAAGCCCTTACTTCTTCTGTTTCATATACCTTACTCTTTGATCAATCTTCCTCTCCTTTCAACTTACTTGCTTGAGTATCCTACCAGCAGATACTCACCAGACACTTTCCCAGATCTCTCCACTTTTCCCCTATGCATCATCTCCCTGTTGCCTTACTTCCATTTTTATCTATGATTGATTCCATAGGCCATCATTATAATCACTTTCTTGTAAACGTGTGCTACATTCCCTTTCTGTTGTTCTGTTACTCCTACAGCTAACCCCCAGCCATGGTAACAATCACTAATGTTTGTTTAGTGGGCCAGGCATCCCTCTCAGTGCCTTGCATACATTAATTTATTTAGCTGGATTAGTGAACATCTGCTTGCCTTTTCCATTTTTGATACTGAGAAACAGTCATACCATGCAAAAGACTGGTATGACTACAGATTCAGAATCTTACTAATATACGTTTGTCTAGTCTGCTCACTCTCCTACACAGACTTGCCCATTGCTTTCACATATGAAGATCTTACATTTTATAGAGGAAATGGAAGCTACTGGAACCAGAAAATCTTTCTGCCACAAAATCGACAAGGATATCAGCACTTCACCCATACTCTCCCTTATTTCTCCTATTACAATCAAGGAAGACTGATTCCTCCCATGTAGGGCTAGTCTTGCCACACAGGCTCTGTATGCACGAGGTCTTCCTGGATCTAAATCCCGCTCTTC